TGGAGGTCTGGTTTCTTTCCTTAGGAAAGGTGATTTTGGTCCCTTCTTTCCAACCGTTCTTCACGTCGATGGTCAAGATCTTGTCTTTGTGGTGAATGTTCTTTCTGCCCGGGTTCAGCCACCTGCGGGAAATTTTCATCTTTTTGATACAGCCGCTGTAGATCCCTTCAAGTGAGACCCTAAGGTCGTGGGTGACCGGAGGTCTTACTTCTTTCTGATGGGTTACTGGTTGGCGTGGGAGCGGCCAAAGTTCACACTGATGAAGCTCCCCATGCCCATGGAGCAGCCAAAGATTGGGTCATCAATGTCCAGGCCTTCTTCCCCATTCTGAGCCCAAAAAAGTTATCAAAGGGTTTTCAGCCACTGAAGAACTCAGCAAACATAACCTGAGGGTCTCCGTGTCTCCAGTCTCCTAAACCACGAGAAAATCAATCTCTGTTCCCTCCCTAGAAAGGGACTACTGCAATGAACTGTTTCTAGTATTTTCTAGACTGCAAAAACAAATAAAAAAGCAAGTCCTTTTCACTTTAAAAGACTAACTGATGCCATATGGTAGTCATTTCCCAAACTGGTAAACCCCACTGCCAATGAATCGATTTTCAACTCACAGGACAAAGTAAAACAGTCCCTTTAGTGCTCTAAGGTGAACTGCCACATCTTTCCCCCTAAGCACCACTGGTGAACTCCAAACCACAACCTCTTGGCTAGCAGTCTCACACGACTACTTGCACCACCAGAGCTCCTTCTTAAAGCTGACTCACTCATTCATTCATTCATTCACTCACTCACTGTGCCCCAAGTCAGAACTGACTAACACCTGACCTTCTAGAAGGTTGTCCGTGGATTAAACTGCAGGAAAGGAGAGTGCTCATCTTGCTCCCATGGAGCTGTTGGTAGATTTGAACATCCTGAGTGGTACGGCCTTTAAATGAGCCATGCAACTTCCTAAAGACTAGGCCACCAGAGTTTCCTCCAAAGCTGGCAGGCCACCACAAATGCATTTTGGATTAAAAAAAAAACAACAACAACCCCTATCTTCCCCCAAAAGACATGCACAAGTGGTTCAAACTGAATGGAGATCTTTGTGCTGGCACACACAGCATCTATTCACAAATGCTGCTAGAGCTCCCAGCCAGAGGCAGGGATCCTTCCATAGCTTAATTTTATTTGGCCTCAAGGAGGTGCAGAGAAAGCTTTATCTGTGCTAAGAAAAGATTAGACGGAAATGTAAAGTACTGAGTCAGCTGGTGAATCATTTAAAGATATGAGAAGAAGCAGGGCAAAGGCTTGACCAGGTGAGATGGCTCTGGGATGGCCCAAGATAAAGACAAGAAAAATGAGAGTGAAACATTAAACACAGACTCTTGCCCCAGATCCCACCCAGGCTCTTATTTTTAGTCAGCTTTTCCTCTAACTCTCTTTCAAGTAAACAGGAGTTAACTACTTATAATAAACACTTATGTTCCCTGCTCCTAATTTCACATTAATTCTTCAGATACCACATATCAATTTTCTGATTCTGAGAAAAATGCTTTAAACCATCTTCTATGCATACTGTTCCCCACTGAGTCTAGAAGGTGTAGTCCACTTAGCCGGCCCTGAATTCTTAAGGTTTTTCTTGGATACTCAGCCCTGGGCACATCTCCATAGCCATCTACTCCCGTCTCTTTCTTTTGCAGAATTTCATATTCACTGCAACTCTCAAACTTCAACTCACAGGAACCCTCCATCAATTTTCCTAGGCCGTGAATCAACAATGGAAGGAGAGTGCCACCCATGTTTCTCTCACTGAGTGGTGGGTGGATTTGAACCCCCAGAATTGCTTTTGGTGAGCAGCATAACACACTAAGGGCTACATCACTACAGCAGTCTTTGCACTTCGAGGACTGAAGACTAATCATTTTCAATAAGTAGCTTAACACCAACTATTCCTTCAAAAGCGACATCATGCTTAGAAAAGTGGAGAGGTCAGTAAAGGAGAGGAAGATCCTTAATGAGACGGACTGACACAGTGTCCACAACAATGGCTCAAGTGTGTCAGAGATGCCGAGGATGGCACAGGACAGGACAGGGTTCAGAGGTATTGTTCACAGGGCCGATATGAGCCTTTCTAGACAGCACTAACAACATAACTCCTCCATAGCCTTAAGGTTCTGGCTTCCTCTGAAACAACTAGGTGGCCTATAACTTCCCCTCATTTTTCCCTCCAAAAATTTCATTGAAAAAATTCCACCAAGAAGACTTGTCTACATAATTTAGAGTGGCATCAAAGGCAGAATAACTGTTTGCCTCAAACAGTTAATATCTGGAGTATGTGAATACCCAAACCAGAAGATGCCTTTCTGGTCATTTCCATCCACAAATAGACAAGGTACATAAAGAACTCAACTTGCGGTTGTCAATTCCACTTCAATGCACAGCTAACCATCTATCAGATTTCTGAGGCTGTAAATTCAAACAGGAGGAAACTGCTCATCTTACTCCCTTGGAGGGACCTCTGGTAGCCTAGTGGAAAGAAGCTGCACTGAAATCCCAAAGACACATGGTTTGAATCCACCAGATGCTCTGTAAGAGAAGGATGAGTAATCTCCTCTGCGATTTACTGCCTCTGAATACTCACTCACTGGAGGGTCATCTCTGGGTTGGTTCCAATTCAAAGGCAAACAATACAACAACAACAAAAACTCCACTGGAGCAGCTGGTGGATTTAAATCTTAAAAAAAGCATGGCCTTTGTGTTAGCACTGCAACTTGCTACGGTCTATACCACCTACCAGAGCACCTTACAATAGTTGTATAAACTGATGAACACAATGTCAATGAATTGTACCTGTAAAAAGTGTTAAACTGGTAAATGTTTGATTATATATGTTTCTACAACTACAAAAATAATAAGTAAATCTTTAACCAACAACCTCATATATATAGTGTCTAACTATTTGAGCTTTGGCAGCCTAGCGGTAAGGAGTTGAGCTGCCAATTCAAAGGCATGTGTTTTGAACACAAGAGAAAGATACACAATCTTCTGTGTGCTTTACAACGTCTGGAAGGTCAGCGATAAGTTAGTTCTGACTCGAGAGCATAGAACTACCATCACTATCATAAAAAAATCTGCAAAGCAGACATCATTAACCCTAATTTATAATGAACCAAAGTCGGGTTAAAGATGGACTTGTTGCAGCAAATTACAGATTTCAAGGCCTGAAATTTGACAGGTACTCAAAACAGTTATTAGTTTATAATAAAATAAAATTTAAAATATTGAAAAATGCAGAAAATATTCTAACAGAAAATCCTAATAAATAGTGCTTGTCTAGTCAGTTCCAGTTCTCTATGTACACTGTAGTAGAACTTGGTTCCACAGGGTTCTGTTTTTAATAATAATTTTTTCAGTTGTGACTTTTAATGAACGTTTACAGAAAATTTCACTTTTCATACATTCATTTTTATATTTTTTCTTCCCTCCCATTTTCTTTCTTTTTTTTTTTTTAAATCATTCTTTGTTGCACAATTCTACAGGGTTTTCAACTGCAGGTTGATCAACTGGGCCGATTTTAGGGGAAGTGAATCATTTTAGGAAGCAGCATTTGATCATGAATCAATGGTGATAAAGAGAAAAGTTTAAGCTACATTGAAGGCACTGGGGTGGGGGGACAGGAGGAAAGGTATCAGGAATTGATGGAAAACCAACTGACATGTCTCAATAAACAGATGTAGCCCAGTACGTGCTCATCAGATTGTGTCAGGACATCAGGGAAGAGAGCTACTTGGCCACCTGACTGGAAGAGATCCAAATCTATTCCCATCCTCAAAAAAAGGTGATCCAATTGAATGTGGACACTATTAAAAAATATCATATGCAAGCAAAATCTTGCTGAAGAGTATTCAAACACCAGCTAAAATAATATATTGACAAAGAACTGCCTGAAATCCAAAGCGGATTTAGTAAAGGATTTACTATCGTAAGTATCACTGATGCTGTCAGATGGATCTTGGCTGAAAGCAGAGAGTACCAGAAGGATGTCTATTTGTGTTTTATCTACTATGCAAAGGCATTTGACTGTATTGATCACAACAAATTGTGCTTAACACAGAGAAAAATGGGAATCCCAGAACACCTACCTGTGCTCATATAAAACCTATACAGACCAAGAAGAGACTATTGTCCAAATAGAGGAAGAGTATACTGCATGGTTCAAAATCAAGAAAGATGTGCATCCGAGCTGTATCCTTTCTCCACACCTATTCAATCTGCATGCTGAACAAACCATACTACGGTTCCCACGAACAGAAGAATAATCAATGTCTTTGCACCGTTGTGTTGGAGAGGAGTACAGAATATCCCACGGGCAGCCAAAAGAACAAGTGTGTCCTCGAGAAAGTGAAACCATAGTGCTCCTTGGACGTAATGATGGTGAAGCTTCAACTCACATACTTTGGGCATGTTAAGAGGAGCCAGTCCTTGAAGAAGAACATCATGCTTATAAAGGTCAGCATAGGAAAGATCCTCAACAAAATGGATTGATATGGTGACTATAACAATGGGCTCAAATTAGATATAGTGAAAATGACAAAAGATAGGATCAGGTTCAAATCTGTTATTCATAGGGTTATTTTAAGTTGTACTCATCTTGACAACACATAATGGTAACAACAATAAATCACCAGATTTTTCTACTAGGTAGCTCTAGGTTGAATTGAACCACCAATCTTTAGGTTAGCAGCTAACCACTTACTCAGATGCGCTACTGAGAAACTCCAACAGAGAGCTAGGTGAAGGATATAGGTTGTCCATATTTTGTGTAAATGAGGTACTACCAGCTTTGACCTGAAGTATGTATGAGCTTAAACAGTTGGAAATAGAACAAGAAAAGTTGGTGGATTCCATTGAGAATTGAACTGCTAATCCAAAGTAATAATTTTCTTTGTAATGCAGCGGCCAAACCATGGGAGAAAGATGGGCATGCTTCTCCTATTACAATTTATAGTCTCTGAATCCGAATGGAAGATCACTATGAGTTGGAAATGCAATCATTGACAGTGAGGTTTGTGTGAGGGTTTTTAAGAAATTAAGAAGCTGTTGGGTCTAATACACAATAAACTGGTCACAGGGTTTCAGGGAAGTCAATTAAGTGTAAAATGAGGTTAACACCTATAATGTCTATGAGAAGGACTTGCTGGAAACATTGAATAAGACAGGCTATACATAGTGTGATATATCATGATTTTTAAAAATTCTTCAGTACTGATAATTCTAATAGAAGTAAGTGGTTCCTGAGTCATACCAGCTACATCAGGTGCTGACAAGACTAAATACAAAACCACACAAATAAGACACCAAGTCAATAATCTTCAGCTCTGATAATGATACTTTTTAAATTTTTTAAATTTTATTCTGATTTATTTACAAAGTTTGAATACATTGTTTTTCACAAAAGATCCTTCCCATTTCCTTCATCTCACCCATCTGTTGAACTGTACAAACCTATGATTAACCCCTAACCCTCCATCCACACCCCTCTATTTCCACCCTCTCCCCCCTCCACCCCTTCCTTGGATTCTCATACTCATTCTAAAATAATAGTTTTATATAGTATTTGTCCTTGTATGACTGAGTTAGTCCCTCCCAAGTTAGGTAGTAATTTACAAAATCATAGTTCCTGCATGCTGCATAGTGTTTCATTGTATAAATGTACCACAATTTCTCAATCCATTCGTTTGTGATTGGACATCTGGGCTGTTTCCATGTTCTTGTGATGATGAATAATGCTGCTATGAACATAGGTGTACAAGTTTCCATTTGAGCCTCAGTTCTCATTTTCTTGGGGTATATTCCAAGCAATGGAATAGCTGGGTCATATGGAATTTCTATGTTCAGCTTTTTGAGGAAATGCCAAACTGCCTTCCAGAGTGATTGTACAATTGTATAATCCCACTAACAATGTGAAAGAGTTCCTATCTGATCACATCCTCACCAATATTTATTACTTGCTGTCCTCTTAAACTTTGCCACCGTCACTGGAGTAAGATGGTATCTCACTGTGGCTTATTGCCAGTGATTTGGAGCATTTCTTCCTATATCTGTTGGCCATGTGAATATCTTCTGAGAAAATTCTTTCCATGTTTTTTGCCCATTTTGTAATTGGATTATCAGTCTTAATGATAAGCTTTTGTTAAGAGACTCTTGTCTAGCGAGGCGGCCGAGCGGCAGACGCAAAGCTGCAGATTTTTGTGAAGACCCTGGCTGGCAAGACCATCACTCTTGAGGTCGAGCCCAGTGACACCATCGAGATTGTCAAGGCCAAAATCCAAGACAAGGAGAGCATCCCTCCTGACCAG